ACACTATCATTTCAATTTAAGAAGAAATTCACAGATGAATAAATAAGGTTGAGTCAGGTCACTTGCTAAAGCATTGAGTCGAGGTTTTGAAATCTAATTTGGGATTTCTGAAGGAAATTAAGGCCAAATTTGATTCTAAAATCACTGCACAACTTTCATGCTGAAATCATTTTGCAATGCAGCTAAGAATTATTAATTTTTTTTCAAAATTGTTAACATACAAGATTTCAATTATTTGGCACAGATCCAAATTTCTGAAAAATTTAATTGTTAAAAGGAAAATTATGGATAAATCTTTTCATATTTTACGTTTCATATATGATTGATAGATAAGACATGAAAAGAATGGAATAGGTGGGTTATAGATAGATTGTAATAGACTTGATCAGACTGAAATGGATTGAATAGGCATGATCAGACTGAGATCAGTTGTAACAGACTTGATCAGACTGAAATGGATTGAATAGGCATGATCAGACCGAGATCAGTTGTAACAGACTTGATCAGACTGAAATGGATTGAATAGGCATGATCAGACTGAGATCAATTGTAATAGACTTGATCAGACTGAGATGGATTGAATAGGCATGATCAGACTGAGATCAATTGTAACAGACTTGATCAGACTGAAATGGATTGAATAGGCATGATCAGACCGAGATCAGTTGTAACAGACTTGATCAGACTGAGATGGATTGAAATAGACTTGATCAGACCAAGATTGATTGTAATAGACTTGATCAGACTGAAATGGATTGAATAGGCATGATCAGACTGAGATCAATTGTAACAGACTTGATCAGACTGAGATGGATTGAATAGGCATGATCAGACCGAGATCAGTTGTAACAGACTTGATCAGACTGAGATGGATTGAAATAGACTTGATCAGACCAAGATTGATTGTAATAGACTTGATCAGACTGAGATGGATTGAATAGGTATAAGATCAAGATGGATTGCAATATACATGCTCAAGACAACATAGATTTTAATAAACATAATCAAACTAAGATAGATGGATAGATATGAACTAATTTAGATAGATAGAAAAGATTAGGAAAGATAGATAGGAATGGAAAGATTGGTAGATAAAAAGAAAAAGATTAAGATAGCTACTGTCTGATCATACTTACACATTTAATGTATAAATTCTGTAAGCAAATGGAGCAATTATTATGAGGCATAAATAGTATTATATAAATAATAATATACTACCTCTGTCCCATAATAGTTGTACAATGAATGTATAAATTGTGTAGACAAATGGAACAATCATTACGGGACAGAAGTAAAATTTATTTGAATAAAATTATATTACCTCTGTCCCATAATAGTTGTACAATTAATGCATAAATTGTATCTGCAAATGGAACAGTCATTAAGGGGTGGAGGTAGCATCAATAAATGAATCTTTAGTGAAACTGTTTGACTAATTATTGATTTGGTCTGCACTAATGGTATATATGAACGAAAGCAATTTTGGACTTAAATTAACAAATAAGAAAATGAAAAAAAGGCCTCAAAAAATGCCAAAATAAAATAAAAGATGTCACGTTGAAATAGAAAATGATGAGACGTATTTAAAAAAAAATAAAAAGAGAGAAAGAAACAATAAATTGGTATTTCAAGACAAGATCTCCCCAGACAAAAGAAATGTACAAAATAAAGAATTAAAAAAAAAACAGCAAAAATATTCAAATAAAAACTAAATATGATACTATATACGATAAGATATTAGACTTTTCTCCGACATAACTTTAAGAAAAAAAGGAGGAGAAAAATTCTTATTTGGAAATCAATAAAAGGCTGTAAAAAAAATAGTGGGTTGTTCAGAATGTAATGCTGCACTTTTTAGAGAAGGAATAAAAAACTATTGTCTACAACTTTGAGAAGCTTCGTGAACATTGTTTGTACAAATGTGGTGATATAACAGTTATCAGTGCTAAAGATGAAAGTGAGACGCTGAGATCAAATCCCATCTCAGGATGTGACACTCACGTTTTAGAGAAACTAGTATTATTTTCTACCCTATGGCTCCTCTCTCACAGATGAAATGCCAGAAGCCTCTCACTGCTTCCATAGAAAGTGCTCAGAAGAACTACATTCTTTGCTTCCACTAGTTCTGACATTCACAGCTAAGGCTTGGCTCTTTAGTCTGGGTAAGAAAAATATTCTAAGAGCAGAACTTTCAGTTGCAAAGTCTGGGGAAGATAACAGGAAATTACACCACACAACAGGACAACGTGGCAGCCATATTCAAAACATTTATGAATGATAGACTTATAAAGTGGATACATGGTGGAATAATGGATAGTGGCTCAGATTGAGGAATCGGAGAGCCAAGTTTGAACTCCAGTCAGATCCATTACATTCATTACATTCACTTATGTGCTAACACCCTTAGGAAAGGTATGAATTTTCATTTACTCCCCCCAGTTATGGATAAATAGCAGGACAGACTGGATTCTCTAGCCTTGGATGGAAACCAGTCTAGGAGAATGTAACCCTGAATTCAAAACTGTATGTAGCCTTGATGTAGCACATATTATACAGCTAAAAGAAAGAATCATTTGCATTGGCTTCATGATCCGATTATGGTGGGATGATGATTATAGGCTTATTTATAAGTCTATAATTATATATATATATATATATATATAATTATAAACTTATAAATAAAGTTTATAATCATCATGAAGCCAGATCATGAATATATATATATATATATATATATATATATATATATATATATATATATATTATTATAGACTTATAAATAAGCCTATAATCATCATCCGACCATAATCGGGATCATGAAGCCAATATATATATATATATATATATATATATATATATATATATATATATATAATTTTGTTATTGAAGGATTTTGCCATTTTATATCATTAACTTTACTAATTTACTTTTTGTACGAATGATTCAATGTAATATATATATATATATATATATATATATATATATATATATATATATATATATATATATATATATAAAGACAATGGAAAATAAAATATACAACAATGGTGATATACCAGAAGACCTAAGTTGATCTATTTTCATAGCACTACTTAAGAAACCAGATGAAAACAAGTGTGAACTCCATTGCACAATCAGTCTAACAAGCCACATAATAAAACTCATCATCAGAATACTGAATAGAGAGTACATCAGAATCAGACTAGAAATAGGATAAGAACAGTACAGGTTCATTAAAGACACTGGAACAAGTAATGCAATATTTATGCTCAGGATGATATCAGAAAGAACAATACAATTGCTGAAAGATGTGTACCTGTGTTTTATAGATTATACAAAAGCATTTGATAATGTACATCACAGAGAACTGTTTCAACTGATAGGTCGTCTTAACATATTTGCGAAGGGGATACTCCATAACTTATATTAACAGGAAACTGCCAGTATATGGATAGGAAATGAATCCAGTAAAAATACCAAAATAGAAATCGGTGCAAGATAAGGATATTTCTTCTCACCAGACTTATTCAGCCTATAAACTGGGGTGATTCTGAGAGAATTAGAAGGCCTACAAGGATTCATTATTGGTAGTCACAGTCTTAATAATATAAGTTCTGCAGATGGCAATGTTGATAGCAGACACAGAAAGGAAACCATAAGACCTCCTACAGAAGGTACTAAGGGAAAGCAAGAAGAAAGGACTAAATATCAATTGCAATGTATGGTTGTTCACAAAAGGACATACTAAAATCAAACAAGTATAACAATTAAAATATCTGATGAGTTTTTTTTTTTTAACAGGGGATGGAAAGTGAAACACTGAAATCTGAAGGAGCATTTGGATAGTGAAAAATGCCTTCCAAAAACTAAGCATAGTATTAAGAAACAGAAAAAATTTCATTAGAAACATAAAAAAGAGTACAGAACTTTTATGTAATATCTCTCCTTCTATATGGCAGTGAATGCTGGACAATCCCCTCAAAGATAAAGAAGAGACTTGAAGCAACACAAATCCGGTTTTACAGAAAAATACTGAAAATACTATGGACTGAATATGGGAGCAAAAGAAACAGTCTAACATACTATATACCAGAGGTAGGCAACCTTTTGTTAACTATGTGCGAACTTAGGGTTTTAAAATCATTCAGTGTGCCAACAACATACATATTTTCAAGGTCAAGGTTAATATATCTGTTTTACAATATATTTTATATAGTAATATATACAATAATATTTAAACCACATTAATAGAAATAAACTTTTAAAAGTTTTTTTAAGTTTTTATTATTAATGGAAGTCCAACAAGTGAGCAAATTTGAAACAGCTAAATATCTTCTTTGCATTGTAGTACTTATTGGTTCGGACTTTGTAATGTCATTTGTGGCTGCGTGCCATTGAAAATTCCTTGGCGTACCACATGTGGCCCACATGCTGTAGGTTTCTGACCCCTGGTATATATAATACTAGAGATGTATTGGTGATCTCTCACAATCTTACTATTAATCATTTCTTTTTTTTTTTTTTACAGGCATCTTCTGAATTTGTCTTAAATTATTGCAATTATTCATTTATTACAAGCCACTTAATTCCTGGACATAATGATCCCTCAAGAGAAGGATCCACCAACAGTCATATAGCTTTCAGCTGAAGAGAGTAAACAACTGGTGAATGAATTCACTCAGCTGTACTTAAAATACCAACAAATATAAATAAAAATATTACTTACTGTATGTATTGCTTCTTGGATGTCTATTTGCCTTTTGCTTCAGAAAAATGAACAAATTTGGTATAATCCATTGTTATGTAAATTGTGATTATGTAAATATATTTTTCCCCTGTGGTTATAAGTATCCTGTGCAAAAGTAAACAAAAAAAAATATTTTAAAAAAGGCTAAAAACTGTTTCAATTTCCTTGTAAGGTAGACATTTAATTTTTATTAAAAGACAAACTTATTGGGAGGAAATAATGCAAGAATAAAAATAAAATAACCAGCAAGAATTTATATTAGAGCAAGTTTCCTTAATCCTTCAGGAATCTTTTCAGTATTTTCAATTCTTGAATTTCCAGTTCTTCCAATATTGTAGATAATGATGAGATAGATAGATAGATAGATAGATAGATAGATAGATAGATAGATAGATAGATAGATATGAACAGGCAGAGAAAGAGAAATATAAAAAGGAGATAGATAGATATGAATAGAAAGATTACACATATATAGATATGAACAGGCTGAGATAGATAAATAGATATAAAAAGGATATATAGATAGGAACAGGCTGATAGATAGATAGATATTAATGAAAATGCACATACAGAGAGAGAGATAGGTATGAACAGACAGAGATAAATATGAATAGGATAGAAAGATAGATATGAATGGAAAGACATATATATATATATATAACAATTGACAATTCTAGAAAGAAAATTCGGATTGCCAACACACAAACAAAGAATGTCTCATATCGAGAACATTTCACATTGAACATGAAGAAAAATTAATTATTTTTAATAATATGTAGAAATCTCCACTTTTACCTGAAGACGGTCTTGAGACCAGAAAAACAATGTCGTAGTAAAATTATGTAAAACAAAGCATAATATTTTTCTAAATAAATCCACATTACAACCAAAAAACGTTTGCGGCACCTCTCTTCTTTTTAATATACATACTTTTCTCTCGTTGGAACCACTACAACATATTTCTTTTATATATATATATATATAGATAGATAGATAGATAGATATTAATGAAAATAGATAGATAGATAGATAGATAAGAAAGGGGCAGATAAATATATAGATAGGTATGAAGAGTCTGAGATAAGAACAGATAAAGATAGATATGAACACAAATAATGAGCAATTTGACATAAATATGAACAGATAGATATAAACATAATGCAGGAGATATATAGATAGACAGAATGAAAGCAGTAGATAGAAATTAACAGAATGAGATAGATATGAATAAAGATAGATAGATAGATAGATAGATAGATAGATAGATAGATAGATAATGATTAGAATCAGAGAGAGATTTAATAAATGAATGTAACGTTCTTCCTTGTTGAAGAAACTATTCCAAAAAAAACATATTTGATAATTTGGTCAAAATTTGGGAAGTTTGTTAGCTTGAGAAATTTACAGTACCCTTTGATAGATTGACAGATAGATAGATTTGAAGAGACTGGCATTGATAGATATAAACAGAATGAGATATAAAGTCGAGATACAACCTCGCACAGACAGTTTGGTCTATATTCACTTATCGTTGATCAATCAATCTATTTATATCGTAATGGCAATTATATAAAGAAAGTCGACAAACTCGATTTTATTTACTTTCTTTTTTTTAATTATAAATTTCCCTTCTATCAAGTTATATCATCATCAGTCTGCTTGAATCGATCACCTCACTTGTTATCTCTTGGTTATTTTTCAAATTAACCTTAAAAGAAAACAGCATATTTTTAGCTTGTTAATAAAATACACCTGAGCAATTATAGTTTAGTTTTCTTCAGTATCTGTCTATATTTCTGAGACTATCATCTGCATCTTTGTTGCCATATTTGGCAAAAATCTCCTGAGCTGACCAAGCATAGAAATGAATACAACATGGGAATCAGTAATAAGGACTGCCAGAGAAAAGCAATAATAATAACAACAAAAATTGCAATATGAGCTCTGGTAAAAAACATGCAATGATAACAGCAAAATTGCAATATGAGCACTGGTAAAAAATCGTTTCTGAAGACATTAGGTTTTATAATACCCAGAAATTCATACACAGATGTCCTGAAGGATACAAGGAACAGTGTATAAAGGTGTTAGTTACATCTAGTGACAGGACCCAAAGAGTGTGATTTAAGGTGGTGGAGAACTTGGAGAGAATATATATATATATATATATATATATATATATATATATTCATTTCTGTAGTTCCTTGCCAACAGCAAGCAGAAATATTTCGCCTCCCGATGATGGCCATTTCGGTCGAAACTAGTCGAGGAATCTAAATGGAATAATAATAATAATAAAAAACGAAAGAATATTAATCTACAACCCAGTGTGTCTAATGATTTTAATTTTAAATTTTTAATTTTCTTATTGTTCAAAAAAAATATATATATATATATATATATATATATATATATATATATATATATATATATCTTTCCATTCATACTGATATCTCTTTCTATCCTATTCATATTTATCTCTGCCTGTTGATATTTATTTGTCTATTTTCATTAATATCTATTTATCAGCCTGTTCCTATCTATATATCCTGTTTATATCTATTTATCTATCTCAGCCTGTTCATATATATATATGCGTAATCTTTCCATTCATATCTACCTATCTCCTTTTTATATCTCTCTTTCTATGCCTATTCATATTTATCTCTGCCTGTTCATATCTATCTATCTATCTATCTATCTATCTATCTATCTATCTATCTATCTATTTATCTATCTATCATGTGGAACTAGAACAGTCTACCCCAGTGAGCGAAATAAAGGGTTCAGTTCAACATTCCAACCACCTGAAGAAGGCCGGAGTGTACAACAGCTGAAATGTCGTGATAAATATGGCAACAAAGAAGAGGATGATAGTCCAAGCAATGTAAATAGTGTTTAGTTTTCTTATTGTATATTTTGCGAGAGTACTGGATTGCTCTGTGTTATCCATCCTGATAATATGTCAGTGGATAGTGGACAATCTCTCTATGGATGAGGAAATAAAACTAAAGACAATAGACATGTGATTCTACAGAAGGATATTTCAAATTCCAGGGATGGAGTGAGTAAGCAACAGGGAAGTCTTAAAGAAAATGGAATACTTATGCTCAAAATCAGGAAAAGGTAGCCAAAATTCCTGTATACATAATAAGGAAGTAGGGACTGGAAAATATAACCCTCACAGAAAATAATGAGGGCAAGAAAGGTCGGGAAAGGCAGTAAGCTGATGAACTTGGGAGAATAGATGGTTAAAAGAGGGGTTTTAGTAAAAAGAGGAAAAGTAAAGGCTATGAGGGACAGGAAGTTGTTATGAGCCATGATCACCTCTGTCTAGAAGTGACACAGCACATAGAAGGCAGGGTGGTTTAATGGATATTAGCTCGGATTGAGAAATTGGAGATCCATTACATGCTAATACTCTTGGGAAAGGTATGAATCTTTTTCACTCCCCTCAGCTATGGGTAAAATAGCAAGACAGAATGGGTTCTATAGCCTTGGATGGCAACCAGTCTAGGAGAAGGAAACTGAATTTAAACCCACCCAAACAGTAGAAAATCAAAGATTATATCAATAAAAATAGGTTAAAAACAACAAAAATAAAAACAATAATTAAAATATATCAGATATTGAAAAATATTGAAAAAAATACATAAACAAAAATGAAAATTATTGATAAAAAAATATATAAAATATATATCTCTGAACTACCAAAAACAGACAAAAAATATCTGTTTATATTTCTGAGATGAAAATAGTACTGTAACTATTTAGATCATTCAAACTCTTGTCCTCAACTTTATTGTCATATTCACAATGTTTCAGCCATTGTAAGCTTCGGCATTCTTCAGATTATATATGTTGGAATTTTGAACTGAACCCTTTATGTTAACTGAAAAAGGCTAGAGTGTATAATGATCAAAACATTATGAATAAAGATGAGGAAAACAATCTGAACAATGTAAATAGTGTAAACAGACAAAAATATATAAACAAAAATAAATTAAAAACAACAAAAATGAAGACAATAGACCAAAAAATATATTGAATATTGAAAATATATGTCTAAAGTACTAAAAACAATAGCAATTATCATATCAACAGAAGTGTGTTACAAATAACAAGGATAAGGACAATAGTCCAAAAAATAAAAATATATCGAACAATGAAAATGCACAGAAATTCAGAAAACAATATTTGATTTTTTTTTTTTTTAAATCATTAAATAAATGTCATAATTTGAATAAAAATAAATTGAAAGACATTTTGGCGATATTAACATATTTTTTCTTTCTTAAAAAGACAAAAACAAAACAAAAATTAATCTTGGTAAAGATTAATATAAGTTATTTTTAAGCACATTAATAGAAAAAGGACAGAATCATTTGTTTTTTTACCTGTGTAAAAGTGTAGATTTGATTTCCAAGAACTTTAATCATTTCTTGTTATAAAAAAGTTACTCTTCTTCACTGCAATTATGCAGAAAGACAGGTAGAAATCACCTGATAGTTTTCACATTGTATCAGGTGATTCTTGGTGATAATCCATCATTTAAAGATTGATTACACAAGGATTAAATACTTCTTTTTTTTCTCTCTTTCAATCTTAATTGGATAATGACAGATTAACTCTTACGGGATAAGAGATAATATTGAGGTAAGCAAAACAAATGTCTGAATTAAAATAAAGTTATGCATCTTCTGCCTGAATTTCTGGGATGAGGATTTGTCCCTTGTTTTTACTGATCAGTTATTTTCTGTCTCTGAATTTTTGGGGAGAGGATTTATAACTATTTGCATATGGACTATTATATTCATTTTTGTAGTTGGTATCACAATATTTCAACTGTTACACCAGTTTAGGTAACCTACAGACTGAACCCTTTAGAGAGAGCACAAGATTACGAAAAAAGATAAAGGAATGAAATATCCAAATGGTTTTCAAATATTATGTGTTTCCTCCTGTTCACAGATTCTATATATTATCTCATTTATCAAACATGCAGGTAGTGTAATAGAAAGCGACTTGGAAAGAGAAATCAAAATTGAATTCCAATTCCAGTTGAGTTTGTTACCTTTTAAAATGGGGAAGTTGCTGATTTGGGATGCAACCTGTGCGGATACATTTTTGACTGGTAATTTGATCAGTTCCGTGGTTGAGCCAGGATCCATCGCCCGGGATGCAGAGATGAAAAAATAGTTAAATACTCTTCTCTTGCTTATAGATTTTTTTTACTCCTGTAGCAGTGGAAACTTCAGCAGTTATTGGCCCTTGTTCGATGGCATTCCTTCGGAGGATTGGCGTGATTGAGTCTTCTCTTGCTTATAGATTTTTTTTACTCCTGTAGCAGTGGAAAAGCAGTTATTGGCCCTTGTTCGATGGCATTCCTTCGGAGGATTGGCGTGATTGAGTCTTCTCTTGCTTATAGATTTTTTTTACTCCTGTAGCAGTGGAAACTTCAGCAGTTATTGGCCCTTGTTCGATGGCATTCCTTCGGAGGATTGGCGTGATTGAGTCTCGATTATGGGACGAGCCTCATGAAACGGAGTGGCTCTTGCAGCATGTCTCACTGGCGATGGTTCGAGATAATGCTTTCTCCATCATTGCGGCTGGCAGAGGATAGAAAAAAATTGTTTATACTTACATTGTTCTGGAATTGTCATCAGTGGTCAACTGTAATTGTTTTGTTTCAATAAATTTTCCTTGTTTGTTACCTTCACTTATGCATAAATACACTTGGGAACAGTATCAATCAATCTATTCTCCCCCAGCTGTGGGTTAAATAGTAGAACTTGTATCAAGAAAAAAAAGCATATATGTGTGTGTGTGTGTGTGTATCCATGCATCCAAATATACATAACACTATTTACACTATTTAGGCATGTGTCTGAGGGGTTAAAACTTTGCATTCTGTCAAAAAAACCCTGTCAGAAAGGGGACTTTTTGATGTTATCAGTCTGGAGGGGGCAATCCCAGCATGAAACAGTGCTGGGAAACCATACAACATGTGGATGCAGTGAAATTGGGTAGACAAAACCCCTTAGGGCCATTGACAGCTGTGCTAGCACAAAGTCACAAGTCATTGGGTTTGAGTGTGCTGGCCTTCAGATTGTTGATAATGCTAGATTTCATGCTCTTTCCCAGAAACTGTAACTAAGCTCAGCAGGTAGTGGGTGTTGAACTAACAATAGGAATTGGTTAGCTGCGCTATTAGGTTTGTATCCTCAAATATAAGTGTCCAGCTATACGTACATTTATACTATTTACATGTGGACTATTCTCCTATTCTTTGTTGCTGTTTTCACAAGGTTTTGGTCATTGTAACCTCTAGCCTTTATCATGCTTATGTCAATCTGGGTAACCTACAGGGAGTTCTGAAATGAACCCTTTATTTAATCTACAGGGGTAGACTGTTCTTATTCCACTTTCCATATACAGGGATATCTTGTGTACATTATTTACATTATTCGGACTATTGTCCTCATCTTTGTCGACGTTTCGGCCATTGTATGCTCCGGCCTTCATCAGGTGGTTGGAATGTCGAACTGAAGCCTTTATTTCACTCACTATTTCTAGTTCCACGTGCCATGTATGATGGATGTCAGTTATCAGTTATCTCTCGTTAATTTCCCTCTGCCTTAACTGGGTATTGAACTCACACTCTCTGGGTCTTGTCACTGGATCAAACCAACACCATTATCCATTGTGCCATGTGTCATGAGATATGAATTTCTGGGTATTATAAACCTAATGTCTTCAGCAACCATTTTTACCAGTGCTCATATTGCAATTTTGCTGTTATCATTGCATGTTTTTACCAGAGCTCATATTGCAACTATGTTGTTGTTATTGCTTTTCTCTAGCACTCCTTATTACTGGTTCCCATGTTGTATTTAGTTCTATGCTTGGTCGGCTCAGGTTGTGATAAATATGGCAACAAAGATGAGGGCAATAGTCCGAATAATGTAAATAATGTACATAATACCTCATCTCAGAAATATAGACGTATCTTGTGTCATTCTTATTTTTAGTATTGCTCACTTATTGCTTGCCCTGTTTCCACTGAATCAGTTAATCCACTAGGCCATTGTCCTATAAGAATGAGAACACTCTATCCCCTATAAACTAAAAATATGGTTCAGTTTGGAATTTCCTTTAGGTAGTCTGGATCAAGATACACCTGATGAAGGCTGGAGGTCACAATGGCCGAAACATTGTGATAACAACAACAGAGAGTCGGACAATAGTACCTGTGTAGATAGTGTCACTAAAGATATATATATTTGCATGCATGGATGCTCACATACATATATATGCGCACACACATATACATGCGCACACATATACATGCACACACACATACATATATATATATATATATATATATATATATATATATATGATAAATAACTGATTTTGATAGATTTATTTTTTATGGCTTATCAACCAGTTGGGGGGTATTTAAAGCTTTTTTAGTATATAAGGATATATTTTTGTTTTGTAAGTGAATATTACATCAAAAATTGTTGAGGGAAAAAATTATTTCTCCAGATACAAGTCCTAATATTAGCCCATAGCTGGGGGAGAATAGATGGATTAATATTGTTCTCAAGGGTATTTGTACATAACTGAATGTAATAAACTCAACTGGAAATTGAACTCAATGCTGAATTCTCTTAAACTATACAATATCATACAATTTCTTAAATCAAATGGCATTCCAAAGCATAACTTCAAAACTACAACATATAAAACACATATCACTGACTCTAATAATTATGTCCACACAAACATGTATATGCACAAAATCCGAGTATCATCTACCATGTATTCAATTGTGAAAGCAGAATGACATATATCAGATTTTTGTTTTTTCAAAGCTCCCAAGAAAATTAAATTTTGGCATTACATGACGCATAAGGTGTTGATGTACCATTAAAAAGATAGTGACTTGGAATGAGAAATCAGAGAGCAGAGTTCAAATTCCACTTGAATTGGTTACATTCTCTAGCACATAAATACTTTTGGGAATCTATCGCTTCTCCGGCTCTGTTTGGATTTTGTTTTTTCAAAAAAAGAGGTTGTATTTTGCTTTTGAAACCAAAATAATCCTTCACTCACCAGTCATTTACAATCACCTGAGGAGGCGCAACTGTATGCGTTGAAACACAGCTGCAATTCTGTAGTGATTTTTACAAGTTGTTTTTATATCCTAAAATAATATATATATATATATATATATATATATATGCAAAAATCAAGCATTTTATGTGATTTATTTAAGTATGTTGCTGCAGCCCCAAAACATTGCATACACTACATATCTTTAGAATCATTTCACCCCAAGCAAGGCAATAAAGCAACTGAAATGCAAGGGGTTACTGAGTGGGAAAGAACATGACAAAAGTAAAAACATTATTAAAAGGAGAGAACAATAAAAGAAGTGGAATTAAGAAGACAGAAGATGACAATTGACATTGCATTTAAATTTCCCCCAAGCAAGGCACTAAAGCCACTAAGACACAAAGAGATTACTGAGTGTTACAGAATATGAGAAAAACTATTAAGTTGATAGAACAATAAAAGAATTCAGAAGACAGAAGATAATGATTGACATTGCATTTAAATTTTTGAAGAGAAAAATTTTTTAGAAAGCAAGAGGCTAGAAGAGAATTCCAAAAGTGAGTGGTGTAAGAGAAGAAACCCTTAGCATAGAACTTACGGTTTTATCTAGCAATTTCAACTTTAAAATCCTGAGATCTATCTGCCAATCTAGTATTATGCTTTTATTTGTAACGTGGAGGTACCAAAGAGAAAAGCTCACCACAAAAATTACAATGAAAATATTTATAGGAAAGGTACAAGAAAGCTATGTTATGGTGGTGGGAATGTGATTGAAGTCTAGCCGCCAGGTCAGGACTGATAAAATTATTTTACCAGGAATCTCTTAATATATACTACAGACTATGCAATATTCAATTCATGAACAAATGAAAATAATTGTCTAATGAACTAACTTTCCTTGCAGCTGACCTAACAATTACTACTACTACTACTGTACTGATGCGGCATTGACCCTGGGCGGATTGAGCCGGCTTCTTCCTGTTATGAGAAGAAGATTCTTGGGATAAATTACAGAAGTAGGGTACCCAGGCCTACTCGAATAACGTTCTTGCTTGCCGCGGGATTCCCACAGACACAGAGACAGGAACGACAGACGCTCCTTGGATTTTCACCAGAGACCTTGTTAGCCGGTGTGTGTGTCAGACCTGTCCGCCTTGGGTGGCCCTACCAGGAACGAAGTTCCAGGCGGCATAGCTCTGACACTACCGTTTACACCCCCACCGACTGTGAGGTAAGGGTTGGACTTTGGGGCTTACAGTACCAGGTGTTCCCAAGCAGTCCCCCCATCTAAGTACTGACCTGGCTCTACGATGCTTAACTTCGGTGATCGAACGAGAACCGGTGTTTCAGCATGATTTGACCGTAAGCTGACCTAACAATTGATTCAATATAATCTTTCCACTTCATGTCAGTGGAAAACATTAGACTGAAAAGGAGGTTAGCATTAGTCATGCAGATGGGAGGCTAAAAAATGTTCTATAAGACAATTAAAAAAGAGCAGTTTTGTTTTGAAGGCATTAAAATTAAGTTATTTCTTGACCCAATTAACAACAGATTATAGGTAGTTTTTTTTGATCAGCTACTAATTTGATATTATCGAACTGTTCAGACTTAGTATTAAGACAGGAGTAAATATCTGTGTCATTAGTATAGATAAAATATCATGTATATGTTTTGAATCACTGTTAGCTTTAGAGTTGTCAAACAACTGTGTGCCTGTATCTTTCATAAATGTTCTCACTGTCTATAATTAGGTTCCCTATCAAACTATTTTTTCACAATTTTCTAATCATTAATGTCTTGAGGCCAGCCAAATGCTTCCTGCTGAAACTGAAAGATGCAATTGATAGATTAGGAATAATTATTAACTTTAACATAGAAGTGCATCTCAAAAGTGCATTGTCAGTGATTTGTGAGTTTTTTGTTTTCTTTTTTAAAGAGAAATGATTATAATGAAAGAACAAGAATTATGAGTTTTATGTTTTATTTGTCTTCTTCTGTGCTATATTCCTTCAGGACATTAGCGATCATGACTCTCCACGAATTCCTGTCTCTTGTAGGTCTTAATAACTTTTGTCTTTTTGCCATCTCTCCCAAACCCTGCTTCATTTGCTCAACCTTGCATGTAGGTTATGCATTGCTGTCCACTGTTCCTCTTGCCTTCAATCTGTCCTGTGAGTATCAGATTTTTCAGACCCTCTTTCCTCATTATGCACCCCAGAAATTTCAAGTGTCTCTTAATGATGTTAACTATAAATGTCCTATTTGTTGCCATTGTCTTTAGAACTTTGTTATTTCTAACATATTTGTATTTTAAGCATTCTTCCGTAGAACCATTATTCCAATAATAAAAGGAACACTAGGAATGACTAAAAAGAATAGTTTCTAATGAATGAGAAGAGGAAGTCCCTATCGATGTGATCATATGTTGCTGTGTGATTGACAAATCATGTATACAGTTTCCTATTAGAGAGGTAAGCAATTTCTTGGAGTTTTTTTATGACATATATGCCATTGTTGCATCCCTTACCAGAACAAAATCAAACTGAGTTCTGAGGAGTTAACTTAATAAAAATTTTAACAGCATATATTGATCAATTTTCAGAATATATAGATAGTTGTGTGAAAAGGTTACAAAACTGTTGATATGTGGTTCTTTAGTTTCCATTGGTAAAGAAGCGATTAGATATAAGGGTGTTGTTGGTAAGACCGAGAATTGATGAATTTGTTGGGTTGGTTGTCTAAAGTCACGGTTAGTGTCAGGAGAGAGGCCTGGAGTAGATTAGTGAAGTTGCATGGCAGCATGAGTGGGGTGATTTTGACAGGGTTTATCCATCTATCTTCAGGGTTGAAATTGACACCAGTGAGGTGTGCAGATCGGCTGGCAGTCAAGGGATTAGCTCAAGGTGTTGAGTCAAAATACCTGTTGGAGAGGCATGTGTTTTTATATCTGTGGTTTAACAGGTACAGGTTCCTAGCCTCATCCATTTTTTTGGCAACGTTCATGATTGGCTATTGTATTTTAGATTTTTGTAGGTAATTTTTTTGTGAATCGGGTATGATGCTCTGAGCCTCTGCACAGAAGAGAATATTTTTATTTTGGGTTTTGCTTTCTCAGCACTCACATCCAGCCAACTTTGTCTAATGAAATGTATTTGTGAATGAGAAAGAGATCTTGATAAGAGTAGCATAAAAATATTGAGGAGTATATATTGGACAATGTTCTCACAGATGAAAAGGTGTCTTCAGGCAACAGAAACATGATTCTACAGAAGGATACTGAGAATACCATGGACAGTGCATGTGATTAAAGAGGATGTTCTCAGAAAAAAGAAAATGAAAAGGACACATACTTAGAATCAGAAAGAGAGAGTTGTATTTTCTGGGACACATAATGAGGAAAGTGGGTTTGGAAAATTCAACATTCACAGGATATATTAAAGGCAAGAGGAATGTAAGGAAACAGTGAATAACCTACCTAACAAAATTATGTAAACAGGGATAATAAAATGACAAACATTGTTTAGAGCTTGTTGAGTTGTTGGGAGTGTTCCCGCGTGTATGTATTTGAATAAAGACAAACACAGTTGTAGGGATAAATACTGGTATATTTGTAAGAGGTAATAACAACAGAGTGATTAATAATAAGGAACTCCGGTTAGTAAGTAACAATAGCAAAAGTCTACAGTCCAACGGTATATAATGGTAACCTGATCTTTCACACTACACCTTCACACTACCCCTCTACTCACTCTAGCACTGACTTATATCATAGAGGGATAAGTCCATTATCAGTCAGAAGGTGGGTGCGCACCAACAGAGCTACAGATGATAGGATGCTGTGGAGAGCCATGATTGCCAACATTCTGAAGTACACAGAAAAAAAGACGCAATGGTAGTAAATCAATAGAGAGAAAGAAAGATTCCTATGACACTAATAATTTCCATATTTTTAAATAAGTCTAGTCCCAAGGCTTTGTGGTGAAGGATTTTGTACAGTCTTATAAAAGGTCATAAAAATATGGATGCAGAATCAGGGGAAGAACGAAAGAAGTTCTATGCCAAAGGGAGCAACTAATGTAATTAACTTATTTGGTATTTTCTTTTTAATTCAATCATAACTTCCCCGTGTCTAAAACGGTAAGCACACTTGCCTTTTAGGGTTTACAATTTTGTCAAACTCTTATATTTGTTTTCTGTTTTCTTTTTATTCCTTCTGTCACACAACGAGATGCGATTGTAGGCTGATCTCGTTCTACACGCTTGACCTCAGATTGACCTTGCAGCTGTGAAAAAGATTTTAAACCGTTAAATGTGCTAAAACTTTGCAAGAATTTTGCATAAAACACTCAAGGTCTTTTTATTTCTCTTTCTTTTCCCCTGTTTTTGATTGATTGATTTTATTTACTGACACATTTTTTTTCCTCTTCTATCACTGCAAGTCTTAAATAAGACATTTCCACAACCTTAACAATATCAATTAACTTTGATTCTCTGAGCTAACCACTATGGGGTCCACCAATTAAGTCAAAGGGGGTCCTTGAACCATATGCATGAATATATTTCCAAGTATATTTTTCAATTTTTTTTTCAATTCCATAAGGGGAATATAATTCCATAGGCATTCTTACTGGTTGGGGAGGTATATATTTAATAAGGAATATAGATAATTTTACAAAGCAAAATAAAAAAATAAAAAAAGTTAATTACTTAGTAATGTCAGATGTAAAACTTCTACTATTTCTCCAAAGCAAAAAAAATATTTATTTGTTGATCTGACCTAAAAATGTACTTGGTGAATAGGGTTTCATCTTTCCATCTATTATATAAAAATAAAATGTGTTTGTATGTGTGTTCATATTTTGATATCATCTTACAAGAGATTATAGAGAGATTTTAAAAAAATTGAATTATTAGATTAAGGATAACTAAAATAAATTTTATAAGTAAATATAAAAGAATTTGAAAGTGACAGATGATCCCTCTACCCCACAATCTTTCAAAATGTGAAGTTTGAAGAATTAAATAGCATTATTAAAAGTTTCAAGTAATTTGATTGATTTCTTTGATTAATGGCATATCAACTTCTTATGGGTCATTTAAAGCCAAAATTTAATTTTCTTAGGAGGTTAGAAGAAATAAAAAATATGATATATGTTATTCTGCTTTCACAATTGAATACATGGTAGATGATACTCTGCTTTTGTACATATACATATTTGTGTGGATATGATTAGCAGAGGCTGTGATACGTGTGTGTTTTATGTTGTAGTTTTGATGAAGTTATATTTTAGAATACAGTTTGATTTCTTTAAGAAATTGTAGGATATTATATGGATTAATGTCAGGAAAGAGTTCTTTCATGTTGGTTGATGTATTGGTGGTAATTTTACTGCCATTTTGATTGAATAAATTCTTCACATGAGTTTTCTCATCCATCTCCATCCAAAACAGATTAAAGTTCAAATTTTTTTTTTATTTGATTTGTTTACTTAATGGCATATCAAGTCCTTATGGGTCATTTAATGTCAAAATTTAATTTTCCTGGGAGCTTTGAAGTAATAAAAATATGATATATGTTATTCTGATTTCCCAATTAAATATACGTTGGTGACACTCAGTTTTTGTGCATATACATGTTTGTATGAACATAATTACTCAAGGTAGTTATATGAGTGTTTTATTTTGTAGCTTTGTGAAATTTTATATTTTAGAATAGAGTTTGGTTTATTTAATAAATTCTAGGATATTATATGGATTAATGTTATAAAAGAATTCTTTTTGTGTGAGCTGTTTGTTTGGTGACATTAACCTCTATAGGTTATTCTAATGTCAAAATCTTAATATTTTGCATGCAGTTTTATGCTTTCAACTACTAATATTTTCTGTATATTTTTCTGAGACGAGGTAATGTAACCATTTACACTATTTACATTGTTCAAACTTTTGTCTTCATCTTTATTGTCATATTCACAATTTTTTGGCCATTGTACGTTCCATCTTTCTTCAGGTAATCTATGTAGGAATTTCAAACACTCTATTTAGTTCATGGTGATAGATTTTTCTAAGGCTTGGTAAGTGGAATTAGAACAAAATACCTCTGTGGACTAAATAAAGGGTTCAGTTCAAAATTCCAACATATATCACCGGAAATCAGTTGAAGCGTACAATCGGTAAAACTTAGTGAATAAGGCAATAAATATGAGGACAACAGTTCAGATGATGAAATAGAAAGGGCATAATTTATTGAGTTTATTCTATATTTAGGGTGATTCCGAGAGAATTAAAAGTCCGACCAGGACTCATAATTGATAGCCACAATCTTAACCACATTAGATATGCAGATGCACACACACATGCTTATTT